GTGTGTGTGTGTGTGTGTGTGTGTGTGTGTGTGTGTGTGTGTGTGTTTGGTGCTGGGTTCAACCCAGGACCTTACATTTGCTATACACATATATACTTTACCACCAAACTACAGCCTTAGCCTGAGCAATTCATTTTCTAGAGAATTAACTCTTTATAGTTGTCTAGACATAAACCTAAAAGCTTCAGGGTTCACAGCTATGTGCATTCAGGCTGCCTATGGTCCTCGATGCACACATTGTACATAAAGAGCAGCTGGCTGTTAGTGAGTTTCCTGAGTGCAGGCACTTAAGAGCTTCACACATGAAAATGGAGCTATTACTATCACCAGTTGAGAAGGAATGGAAGGAAGCCCAGGGACTTCTCTTGCTGAAGCTGATAAAGGGCGTGACTGAGATTCAAACTCAGTTTGGCAAGTTCCAGGCTGCATGTTGTTAGGTACTATGTGTACGTGCGTGCGTGTGTGTGTTTGGCTGATTGGTTGGTTTTGTGTTGCTGAAGGTCTAACCCAGAGCCTGATACATGCCAGCAAGCACTGCATCCCCAGTCCCTCCTGTGTTTAAAATTGTAAATCTTAATCACAGTACTCGGGGCTATTATGTTTATTATATTAGTTCCCTTTTGACTAACAAGGAACCTCTATAGATGACCAGTTTATTTTGTACCCAAGCTAGTTGGGAGAAGGGTGTTATTTAAATATTAATGTAATTTAGGTTCTTTTTACTGCTCACGAAGAAGAGAAATCTGGAAACATGCACACGTAATTGGAGCATTTATTGTGTTACCCAGCGTGAGTTCTGCAGGAAGGGCAGTTCTGGTGTGGCTGGTTTCACTGCTCAACAGCATAAGCCTTTGTTTGGCTTTTCCCAAGAGCCCGCTTATCGGTGTGATGCCCGAGAGTGGTGAGAGTTCAGGATAACATGTGACTGAGAAGTTGAGTGGCTGAAAGCTCCAAGATTCCAGTCCCTTTCAACAAAGCAGAGACCTTTGTAGCTCTCTCTCCCACAAACCCATGTGCCTTATTTCTCATTGACCTCGAATGCTCAGAGGCTTAGGGCCGAGTCCACTGCTGGGAGGAGAGTGAGGTGCTCTGCTCCAGCCTGGTGTCTGCACTGGCTAGCAGGCGCTTGTCAGACGCCTAGCAGTGTCTGCAGACCAGTTTTATCTTACTGGAATTGATTAGGAGATATATATATATATATATATATATATATATATATATATATATATATGTTTATATTAGTGTTTTTGGTTTACTAGCAATCTGTAACATTTAAAGACTTTTATTGAAGCTGCATGGTAGTAGCCATGCCTTTAATTCCAGCACTCAGAAGGCAGAGGCAGGTGGATCTTTGAGTTCGAGGCCAGCTTGAACTGGCAAGTTGAGTATATTTAAACTTCACTATAAAATTTTAAATTTCTGTTTCTTTTATTTTATGTATATGAGTGTTTTGTCTACATATACGTCTGTGTACCACATGCATGCCTGGTACCCACAGAGACCATAAAAGGATATCAGACCCCCCAGAACTGGAATTACAGATGGTTGTGAGCCACCATGTGGTTGCTGGGAATTGAACTCAGAACCTCTGGAAGAGCAGTCAGTGCTCTTAACCTCTGAGGCATCTCTCCAACCCCTTACCATTTTTTTTTTAAATAAAAATTTCCATTTGTTATGCTATTGCTCAGTTTGAATTTTAAAGCTTTTATTGACCACTAAAATGCATATTCTTAGTCTCCCATAGAATAAGAGGTTATAGATAAAACTACTGTATATTTATTCCTGAATTCTTTTAAAAAGTCCATTTGTAGTGAATTAAGAGAGCATCTACTTGGATGTAGGTAGATTTTTCTTTGGGCCACCAGCTCACAAAAGAATGACACAGAGACTTATTATTAATTATAAAAGCTCAACCTATAGCTTAGGCTTGTCCCACTAAATCTTAAAACTTAAATTAACCCATTACTGTTCATCTACATGCTGCCGTGTGACTCATGGCTTTTACCTCTCCTCCTGCTTGTCTCTGTGTCCGGCTGGTGACTCCGCCTTTCTTCTTCCCAGGGCTCTCTCTGTCCAGAAGTCCCTGCTATACCTCCTGCCTAGCTATTCGCCATTTAGCTTTTTATTAAACTGATCAGTGACATATCTTTACACAGTGTCATCAAATATCTCACAATACTTAGATGTAACTTCACTGGGATTTTATTAAGGAATCAGTGTATATAGAGAGAGTTACACTATTTTCCTGGAAGAAAGTGCTAGCAAATCAACATTAACATTATTTTCAAATGTGACTGCTTTGGCAATTGTTTATTTATTAATTTGTGTGTGTGTGTGTGTGTGTTGCTAGGAATTGAATAGGGCCTTGCACATGCCCAGCAATTGTTCTACAACTGAGCTGTATCTACAGGTCCAAGATAATTTGCTCTTAATAAAGTCAACGTTTTTTTAATTCATGCAGTATTTTTATGAATTCTTTCTGAATGTTATACATGCACGCAGTGTATTCTGATCATGTGTCCTTCCTCACCCCTCCACCAGTTCCCCTTAGAGACACTCCTAAACCACCTTTCAACAACTTAATACCTTTTTAAAAATTCTTCATAATTCACTGAATCGGATTTGTGCTGCACAGATATGAGCCGTTTATTGAAACATGGTTGACCTCCCAGGGACCACACCCTTAAGGAACCACGTTGGTTGATTTTTTTCGTTTGTTTGTTTGTTTTCTTTAGTGTTTTTGGACAGGCTGTCACTATGTAGCTTTGTCTGGTGTGGAATGCTCTATGTATACCAGGTTGGCCTCCAAGTCAGTGATCTGCCATCCTCTGCTGCCCAGGTTCTGGCATGAAAGGCCCATGCCACCATGAGGCCCAAGAGCCAAGATTTTTAAACTGTTTGCTCTTGTTGGAAATTTTCTTTATAACATTCTTGTGTTCATAAGTAACTTTAAATCTCTTTTATGAGCTCTAGTTTTCCTAGCCATAGGGAAGTTTTCATTTTTCATAGATCTAAAAACCAGCCACTCCTTGCTGGAGTAGTGACTCCAGTTGCAGGGGCCCAGTGTGCCTGCCTGGTCTAGATCCTGCTCTGTCCCTTGCTAGCTTTGTGATCCTGGGCAAAACTTTCTAAACCTGTTTAGTTTCATTTCATTATGCATTTCATTAAAATGCAGTTACACGTCAAGTGTTTTATGAGAAGTAATTGAAGTTGTTAGGGTGGCACATTCTGTTCAGTGTGTGATTTTACACTTGGCTCTAAATAAATATTCATTTTATTTTGATGTTTATTTATTATGACTAATTCACTAATGTAATTATTAAGCACAATAGTGGTTGTTTTGTTTCGCAATTCCATGTATATCCTTATTCGAAATCTAGTTTTAAAGCTTAATGGCATTTAATAGGCAATATCCCAAAGTAACTGGTGGTATAGATTTTAGTGGTTGGGTGATTTAATCTACACTCTCTGGTGTTTCAACAGTCCAGAGGAAAAGATCAGACAGTTGGAGAAGAAAGTAAACGAGCTGGTAGAGGAGAGCTGTATTGCCAACAGCTGCGGAGACTTAAAGCTGGTAAGTTCACAAACATGGAAAATCAGATTCTGAGATGTGTGTTGATGTCTGTATCTACTTTTAAATATACACATACATGGGCACATTTTCTTCTGCTGTTGTCTGGCCTCAGGCTTTGACTAAGACAATTATTTTGAGAATTTTGCTTTACAAATTCTGATACCACAATGGGGTGATTTTATAATTTTTTTTAATGTAGTTATTTATTTTATTTATTTTATTTTACAATACCATTCAGTTATACATATCAGCCACGGGTTCCCCTATTCTCCCCCCTCCCACCCCCCCTTACCCCCAGCCCACCCCCCATTCCCACCTCCTCCAGGGCAAATCCTCCCCCGAGGACTGCCATCAAGATTTTATAATTTTTGACATTGGTTTTTTTTTCAAAGATTTATGTGTATTTTGTGTGTATGAATGTTTTGCCTATATGTGTGTATGTAAATCACATGTGCCTGTGGAGGCCAGAAAACGGTGTTGGATCCCCTGGAACACGAGTTACAGACTTTTGAGCTGCCCTGTGGTTGCTGGGAACCAAACTCTAGTCCTCTGCAAGAGCAGCAAGTGCTCTTAACCCCTGAGCCATCTTTCTAGGCCCAACATTAACATTGGTCTTTTTAATATGGAAACGATTCTGTGTAGTGCTTCCAAAACTCAGCACCATGACTCATGAATCACACTGTGTGCTATAGAGCACTATTTCCCCTTTCTACTGAGCCAGGGTCTCACTATAGCCAAGAGTGGCCTGGGAATCATGCCCCTCCTGCCTGTATGTTTTCACCCTCTGTGTGCTGGGGCAATGGGCATGTGCTATCATGCCCAGCTTCCTAAGTTCTGTTTCCTCATCGAAACCTCACTGGCCCTTCAGGATTTCAACTCTGCTTTTTAATGTGCACATGTAATGCATTAGTGATAAACTCCCAAGTTGCCAATCATGCATTGAGGAAAGAAATAAAAACACTTCCTTCCCCCTAGAGTTGTTTAACCAAGAGTGAGTTCAGATGGAATTCTCTGCTTCATACTCCTTGTGTCTTCTGTCCATGTCCTCTGTCTGCTGCATGAGTCTGAATCTGTGCCTGCATCTGTATCATGGCTGTCCCTGTATGTCTGTCTGTGTGTCCGTCCCACATAAAGGGCTTCACTCTGTATGTACTGGACAGCACAGAAAGCATCACCTGGGGAAGGAATGGGATTTTTTTTTTTTGGTTTTTTGAGACAGGGTTCTCTGTGTAACTTTCTGCCTTTCCTGGAACTCACTTGGTAGTCCAGGCTGGCCTCGAACTCACAGAGATCCGCCTGGCTCTGCCTCCGGAGTGCTGGGATTAAAGGCGTGCGCCACCACCACCCGGTGGAATGGAATTCTTAAAGAAATCTTTAGCAGAGTTTTTTTTTTTACAGGATTAAGTACTGGCTGCAACTGATCCTAACTGACCCAGACAACAACATAATATAAATACCATTGTTTATCAACCAGTGTCCATAATGGTTGCTTTCAACCTTATTATAGATTTTAGGAAGTTGCTTTCAATTTCCATATTTGTTCCTTTCAGCACATGATACACATGCATTATCTGGTTCAGGGGCATGGAAGAGAACATAATTTAAGATTGCAGCTATGCATTAGCTTAGGTTGTAGAAGCTGACAACGACATGGGAAGCCCAAGGCAAGAAAGGTTGGTTCTTACATTGTTCTCTTAAAGGCAGGTTCTTCAAGCAGTTTGAGCACACAGTAGGATAGCAGTTTCAAGTCTTAAATGACTTCAAGGCGTATCATTAACTCTGGCTGTGAGGTCCAGCAAAAGTTCCAGTCTCTTAGGCTGTAAGGGGTATTTTCAGAATATTGTATCACCACATTTTAACATAAAATTTTCCTTCCTTCCTTCCTTCCTTCCTTCCTTCCTTCCTTCCTTCCTTCCTTCCTTCCTTCGCCTTGTGCATGTTAGGTAAGCCCTCTACCATGGAGCTATATCCACAGCATTCTTTATTTTGAGATAGTCTTAGTTACCTAGGTTGGCCTTGAACTTGTGATCTTCCTGCTTCAGCCTCCCACACAGCTGTGGTGCCACCAGGCCTAGCTCTTTTCTTGCTTGCTGCTTCTGCTTCTTTTTTGTTGTTATTGTTTTGGTTTTGGATTTTTTTAGTCAGGGTCTCTGCATGGCCCTGGCTGTTCTGGAACTCACTCTGTAGACCAGGCTGGCCTCAAACTCACAGAGATCTTCCAGCCTCTGCCTCTGTAGTGTTGTGATTAAAGGTCATACCTACATGCCTGGCTGCTAAATCTTTACTTTCAGTTTGCTTTGTTATGTTACTTTAGTTCTCAGTCCATGCAAGTACAACTTTTCATGACTTAAAAGCTAAGTCTCTTATTACGCTTTTTTGTAGAAATCAACAAAAGATCCATGATATTTGAGTATTCTAGGGCCCAAGCTAAACATTTCTCATAATATTAGACATTTGTTATCTTTTAGCTTGTTGAATTTTGAGTATCCCCAAAGCCAAACAAAATCCATCTAAATCCTACCTTGTAAGATTGAATTAAAATAATCAAATACTTAGAAATTGGGAGGAAAAAAGACAACATAAGCATAACTGTAAATGGAGTTTCTGTGTCTTGCTCCAACCTGCAGCCACTTCCAAATAATCACTTGGAGACTTAATATTACTTATAAATGCTCAGCCGTTAGCTCAGGCTTATTAAAAACAAGCTCTTATATTTTAAGTTAACCCATATTCTTTATTCATGCTTGGCTGTGTGGTGGTACCTTTATTAGCATGGTACGTTGGTCTCCTGCTCCCTCTGTGTCTGGCTGGTGACTCCTTTGATTCCTCCCTTCCTCTTCCCAGTGTCCTCTGTGTCTGGCTGTCCCACCTATACTTCCTGCCTGGCTATGGGCCTGTCAGCTTTTTATTAACTAATGAGATCAATATATATTCACAGTGTACAAAAGAATTATTCCACATCACATAACCAAATCCAAAAGGTGGCAGGAAGGGGTGGTACAATGTTAACTTGCAGTAAATACACCCTTTTCCAGGAAAACAGTTATTTATTACAGAGCACCATTTTAACAATATTCTGGGAATTTTGTATGAGCCTGCAAAGGGGCATTCAGGGAAATCTGGGGTGGAAGATGAATTCAGTCATACATCATAAAGATGTGTAAATATTGGTGAATGTGTGAGCCTGTCTAAATCAAGAATAAATCTGATTTCAGGCCTTAGAAAAGGCAAAAGATGCAGGAAGGAAAGAGAGAGTCCTGGTGAGACAGCGAGAGCAAGTTACAACTCCAGAAAATATCAACCTGGACTTAACATACTCCGTAAGTGTTGCTGTACCTGATGAGTACTATGTGTTTTCCAGCATCTCTCCATTCCAAGGCTCTCCATTTTTGTCTGTTTTGTTTTTTATTTCTTTCTGCAGTGATAAGGATCAAACCCAGGGCATTGTATATGCCAGTCAAGTACTCTGTCACATATAGCCTTAGCCCTGTTGTAGCATTTAGGAAAAGATTTTTTCACCAAATCATAAAGTTTGTTCAGATTTATGGGATACTGTCTTACTTTTCTATTGCCATGGCAAAACACCATGACCAAGGCAGCTTATAAGAGAAAGCATTTAACTGGGGGCTCACAGTTTCAGAGGGTGAGTTCATAACCATCATGACATGGAGCATGGCAACAGACAGGTAGGCATGGAGCTGGAGAAGTCGCTGCAAGTTTGGGACAGCAAACCATAAGGCACAGAGAGAGTAAGCTGACTGAATGATGTGAGCTTTTTAAACCTCAAAACCCACCCCAGTGACACACCTCCTTCAACAAAGCCACACCTCCTAATCCTTCCTAAACAATTCCACCATTTGTGGACCAAGAATGCAAATATGGCAGAATAGTGGTGGCACACATTTTTAATCCCAGCACTTGGGAAGCAGAGGCAGGCGGATCTCAGTGAGTTCAAGGCCAGCCTGGTCTACAGAATGAGTTCCAGGACAGCCAGGGCTATACAGAGAAACCCTGTCTCGGAAAAGGAAAAAAAAAAAAAAGATTTCTTTCGTTTAATTAGTTGTTCAGTTGTTTTTATTTGTGATGGAAATTGAACCTTGGGCCTCAGGCATGGCACATAAGCGCCTCACCTTGAGCTGCATGCCCACCCCTCAATTGTAAGCCCTTGTTCTTATGCCTCTATTTTTCAAACATTCCTAATATTTATGCTGCACCCAGGGTTATCTTAATGAGGGGCTAATGTAGATTTTTGAGTCAGTAAATATGTGACACTAGTGGGAAAAATCAATGCCTTTAATTTCTAACTAAATATCTTTAATGCTGAAAAGATTCTTCCTTGATCGCTACACTGCTATTTAAAAGAGTGTATTTTCAGCGGTCTGAGTCTTATATGTAAAATAAATGAAAAAGGAAGCATCTGAAATATTAAAGGTACTAGATACAGGTCCATGCCTTTAATCCCAGCATTCAGGAGACTGAAGCAGGCAGATCTCCGTGAGCTGGAGACCAGCCTGGTCTACATAGAGAGTTTCAGGCCAGCCTGGGCTACATAGTGAGACCCTGTCTCAGAAAAAGCTTTTGTTATACAAAGCCTTCTCTGATGTGCTTTACGGTTTAAGCTATTTCTATATAATATTTCATTTCTACTTGTAAGGAGAACTAAATAGTCCTTTCTTGATTATTTTTCTACCAGTAGCATTAGCAAAGCACATTTATTCTTTGTGGGTCTTCCTAAAATTACTTACGTAGTACTCAAATTAAAAAAAGAATACAAAGAAAATTAAGTGAAGTTTAGAGGACAGCCCTCCATCGTCGGCATTCTATTTACTTGTAATGCAAGGTAGGTTTGCATGAGTGGCTGCCTATCTTGAGACATAGCATTGTTCAGGCGTTTTAACCTCCAGAATGACTGCAAGTGAATGGGGCCTAGAGTGGTCATTATGTGGCTTCTTATAATGTTTCTTTCCTAGGTTCTCTTCAACTTGGCCAGTCAGTATTCAGCTAATGAAATGTATGCAGAAGCACTAAACACATACCAAGTTATAGTGAAAAATAAGATGTTTAGCAATGCAGGTAGGTGTATATAATGAATATTTCATGCAAATATGTAGTTCCTTTGTAGTGTTAATTATATTTCCTCGCTTTATGTTTTCTTATAATAAAATGATCTGTGCTTTAAGTGAATTTATATTTATGATGTGGTGTCCTGCTTAAACATACTATGTGTGAAAAAATACATATATAAGAATAAATGCAGTTGGCATGAAATAAACTGCCTAATACCAAACAGAAGATATATTCCAAGTGGGGCGAGGTGGTGCATGCTTTTAATCCCAGTACTGGACACAGGCAGGTGGATCTCTTGAGTTCAAGGCTACCTGGTCTACATAGGGAGCTCCAGAACAGCCAGGACTACATAGTGAGACTCTGTCTCAAAAAAAAAAAAAAAAAAGGATTATGTCATCATAGGAAGAAGGAGCCATGCCAACCATATGGAACATTTCTTTCATTATGTGACTGTGTTCCCAAGAGAGAAATGTATATTTATATTACATAGTTTTTGTTGTAATATTAAGGTTTATTATAGTGAGTATTGTTTCCTTTAATAATATTAAAATTATGTACCATTATGGAGTAAATTACAAATGTCTTATATCCCTTTTTAAAATTATATGGTGTGTGTATATGTATGTGTATAAATGTAAATGCATGAATGTTATGGTGGAGCCAGAGGACAGCTCTCCGGAATCTGTTGTTTTCTTCCACTATACATTCCAAGAGGGAATCGGCTCCTCAGGCCTGCACAGCAAGAACTTTCACCATTGTCTCCTGTTTCTCTTAGCATAATGCACTTCAGTTTTGTAATAAAAACAGTTGTCTAGCCATATTTTCAAGAAGTTCCATTTCTCCAGAGAGAAGTGTGTGACCATATGACAATGGTGTACTGTTTTGATGTTAGAATTTTAGGTCTAAAACTTTTAACTGGGCCAGTGTAATTGCTCAGTGGGTACACACACTTGTACCTATGGCTACTGACCTGAGTTTCGTCTCCAGATCCTAGAAAATGGCAGGAGAGAACCAACTCCCATGAGTTTTTCTCTGACTCCCACATGTGTGCTGTGGCACTTGTACCTGTACACATACACACACAATAAAATTTTAAATTATTTATAGCTTCCTAACTTGAAAAATAAGTTTTAGAGAATATAAACTAAGATTATCAAAAATATAGGAAAAGTACAAACATGAGAATGTTTTACACTCATCTTTTTAATTAGGGAGACTGAAAGTGAATATGGGAAATATTTATTTAAAGCAGAGGAATTATTCCAAAGCCATTAAGTTCTACCGAATGGCCTTAGATCAGATCCCGAGTGTCCATAAAGAAATGAGGTAAGTGTGGAACCTGGTGACTATAAAGTTTAAGTGTCTTTTCAGAAACAAGATGACTTGTGGTTTGCTGTCATTGGGCTGAACATTTTGAAGTGTTTGTAGATGGGAGGTATTAGATTCATGTTTCAGATGTAGTGTTTTGCTCTGTTCACTTGTAACATATATATGTAATATATATCACATATTGGCAAATTAAAGGTTAAAGAAATAGTATATGATCAAAAAATAAAAATAAAAATAAGCTGAGCATGTAGGCTGTTAGTAACATCATACAACTTAATGCCAGCACGGCCATACAGCATTCCTGACAGCAGAACAGACTACAGTGCACACTCTTCCTACTGTTTCAAGAATAAGGCTAAAAGAGATTACTGTGGAATAGAAAAGGTGGAGAAGTTGGGGTATCTTCTACTCCAGTATTCAAGAACAGAAATAGTATATTTGTGGGCTTAATGTTCCCTAGGTGTAGGGGACACTTCATATGTTACGGTCCCTTATTTGTAGATGCTACTTTTTAGCAAGTGTCACCTAACTTACAGAATACTCTAGAACAGTGGTTCTCAACCTTCCTAATGCTGCAACCCTTTAATACAGTTTCTCATGGTGTGGTGACCCCCAACTATTAAATTATTTAGTTGCTACTTTATAGCTGTGATTTTGCTCTTATGAATCATAATATAAATATCTGATATGCAGGATATCTGATATGTGACTCCTGTAGGGGTCACAACTCACATGTTGAGAACTGCTGCTCTAGAAGAATCTTTAACCCAGGTAAAACAAAGAATTTGAGCATTTCTGGAAAATTTAATTTAGGGGCATATATTATATGCTTAATAATAGCTGAGGCAGTGGATACTATAGTAGTTTAGCCGAGGCAGTAGCTACCAAGGACTTGTGTAGATGTAACCAGTTGTCTTATTAAAATAAGAAACACAGAGCCAATGTAAAAGAGAAAGCCGAGAGGTCAGAGCTCAGAGATAAAATCTTACCTCCTGCAGTGCTCCTAACTTCCCTAAGAGAGAGCTTCTTCCTGTTTGTCTGTCTTTAAATAGTCTTTCTGTTCTGCCTTCTCATTGGTTGTAAACCCAACCACATGACTGCCTCGTCACTGCCTGTAAGTACTGCCCTCCAGGTCTTAAAGGCGTATTTCTCCAATAATGGCTGTATCCCTTTACACACAGAAATCTACCTAGCTCTTCTAACCACCACGCCCTTGCTATGGCTCTAATAGCTCTGACCCCAGGGCAACTTTATTAACATAAAATTAAAATCACATTTCAGTACAAATAAAATATCACCATAGACTTGAGGTAGGTTACATGTAGACAAAAAGAACATCATAGAATGAATGATCCTGATCCAGTCAGCTAGTTATGAATTGGGATTATGTTCGGATATGCTTGGAAACGAGGCAGGATCATATCCACTAGAATGGCTGAAAAGGACTGACAGTGACAGGTATTGACCCAGATGCTGTTACATTAGAAATCTCATACATCGGATATGTGAAATGCTACCGCTACTTTCAAGACAGGCAGTGTCCTAAAAGGTAACCATTTACCATATGGTCAACAATTCTATTCCTTGGTATATACCTAGAAGAAATGAAAACTTACATTATTTCAAAGCCTTGTATGTGAATGTTCATAGTAGCACTAATCATAGTATCAAAAAAGTGCAAGTAACCCAAATTTCCAGCAAGTAGGCAGTAGATTAGAAAGTATGGCAAGGCCAGGTGTTGTGGCACATATCTTTAATCCCAGTACTCTGGAAGCAGAGGCAGGCAGATCTCTATAAATCTGAGGCCAGCCTGGTATATGTAGAAAGTTTCAATCCACCAAGCCAGCCAGGGCTGCATAGTGAGACCCTGTCTCAAAAATATAATATAATATAATATAATATAATATAATATAATATAATATAATATAATATAATATAATATAATATAATATAATATAATATAATATAATATAATATAATATAATATAATATAATATAATATAATATAATATAATATATCTATGCCATAGAATACTATGTAGTGATTTTTTTAAGGGATGAGGCATTGATACCACAGTATAGAGGAACCGCAGCATTGTGTCAAGGGGGTGGAGCCTGACATTTCATACAGTTTTATTTATAGACAATAACTAGAAAAGGCAGAGAGACAGAAAGTAGATTAGTGGCTCTGTAGTGACTGTGAGGATGGGGAACAACTGTTAATAGGCACAGGTTTCTTCTTCAGGTAATAGAAATGACTTAAATATGTGGGTACTGTCCCACGAGTGTAAATATGGCAGTAACATTAAATGTTGTGATCTGTCTGTTGTACTATTAAAGCTTTAAACTTAGGAAGTAAAATGAGAAAGGAAAGTGCGGCAACTTGAATGTCATATTAGGAGTTCAGACGTTTCAGGCTAACCTGTTTCTCTTTGTTTAGGATTAAAATAATGCAGAACATTGGAATTACATTTATAAAAACTGGTCAATATTCAGATGCCATTAACTCATTCGAGCATATCATGAGTATGGCCCCGAATCTGAAGGCAGGCTTCAACCTCATTCTCAGCTGTTTCGCCATTGGAGATCGAGAGAAAATGAAGAAGGCATTCCAGAAATTAATTGCTGTTCCGTTAGAAATTGATGAAGATGATAAATATATCTCCCCAAGTGTGAGTATGAAAATGACAGTTAGAGATTATGGTTAAAACAGACTGCAGTGATGGCACACGCCTTTAATCCCAGCACTCGGGAAACAGAGGCAGGTGGAT